GACAACATGCTCCAAATTTGCCACTTGATAAGAATTCTTGTAAATTCAAAATACTATTGTATTGTGGTAACTGTAACACACGACCAGATTATAGGTAAACAACTTACCTATAATGACATATTCGCCAATGCAATAAGACGTTCATATGACTCGCTATCACACAAGTATTTGCCACTACATAAGATTTGTAAAATCGAAATACTACATATTTAGTATTGTGGTTACTATTCACGCTCACATCCAAACTACTAATGAGTAGCGGGATACTTCTTGTGAGTATAATAAAATTAGATTTATTCTTATATTTCAATAACTATGATATTATTTCTTTGTTTTTTTCTTTGTTTCTAGTACCAAGCACAAGGAGTCACAGGAGAGAGTCATGTTTGTCAGTTTACATAGGTTTTCGATTATTTTTTAAAAATTACTTTCACAATAAATAAATAAATGAATAAATAAATAAATAAATATATATATATATATATCAGATATAATTTGTTTACTTCATAGGAATCCTAATTCAACTTTTGTTAAAAATATCTGTGATTTATTTTAGATATAAAATATCTTCTATTAAAAAAGACAACGTCTTCTTCTATTACTTCACGTGCATTGATTAACTTTGTAGTATCCAAGAAAATCGAATGGCTACTTTCAAACTTCATACACCGTTATTACAACCTGCAAAAAAGATGAAAAAATCATGGCATTTCACAAATAATAGCATGTATCATAAGAACATCCAAAAGAGTCAATTATCTATTGATAACTGGAAGACTTCATCACGGATCCTAGCAAATTATAGAAAAATGCCTGACAATCTATTCATACATCGACTATCAAACAGTATTTCTAGTCAGTGTGCTGTGATCCAACGGTCATTAACGAATACTACAATGTTACATTTTATTCGCCGTCGTGCTCTACTCATATGTACTTTATCAGAATTAAAAATCGAAGAAGATTATTGGAAACATGTTGCTGATGAAGCAATGCCTACTGTAAGATGATTATCTCAAGCATCTAAAGATATAACGAAACGAAATTCCATTAACTGGGATTATCCTCGAACGGAACACAACATAAGACATCGACAAAGATTAATTTATAATAAACTACAACAAGCAGAGGCAAACTTGAAGGTTCATTTACAACAAAGTCCTCCAAGTGCACTAAAACAAAATGAAATATCTATTGACGAATCAATGAATATCATTGATCACGTTCTTACTAATCTCGTAAAGAAAGATCTTGAACAATGCGTGAATTATTTTGAACACAAGAAAACCATACTGAACTTCGATATTAATGGAGTCAATCAGGTCAAATCATTCTATGAATATAGCCCAAACAAGGAACAGGTTTTCAACCAAACCTACGACCATATTTTTACTCTTTTTCTTTCCTTCTAGATTCTTTCTGTTCAGAAACTTTGGCGAATAACTGCCAAATCATACGAACGAGCAATTACTCTAAAAAGAAATTCTTCATTGTTAACTAAACAAACATTTAAAAAAAAAGGAATGATACAAAACAACTCGGCTCATGACCACATGAACGCAATTGGATTCGACTGCAATACTGGCCATTCTGATCAAAGTGTTTCAACAACTTTGCTTCAACCGTTCCTCGGTCCTATGCGCAATATTATTGAAGTTCGTCTTCTTAATATCAAACAACGAGCTGAACAAATTATGCTATTCATCAATACATCCTCTGACTAAAAACTGTCTGCTTTGCTTCAATATAAAACACAAAATCAAAATATTGTCCTTGTTCATCCATAATTTTGAATCCCAGCAGTGTTCATTATATGCTTTTCATTATCATAAAATTATTCTTCCAATCCATAATAAAACTCATATAGCTATTAGTTTCCTTTATTTCAGATACATATTAGATTCACACTTACCCGTGATTGACTTTACCAATCCTGGCCATTCTACGATCACCTAATTCTTACAAAAAACATCCACCCACCCCATAGGAAAAAAACATACATCCATGCAACAGCTGGCGAACATAAGCCACCACATCGAAACAATAATGATTAGAATTCGACCAACGCTTCATTCTTATCCCTCTACCACCATCCAATTCAACAAATTCAACTAAGCAGCTCACGCATCAGTGTCGCCAAAATAAAATTAACTATCAACTGTTCGGTGTTCGAATTTCTCTCGTTTTTTCAAGTTGAATTCAATAGTATCCTATATATCGTACGTCTTCGAAAGTATGAATCATTGATATGAACATTTGCCACTTGACAAGTTTCTTTAGTAAACTTGAAAAACTATCTTTACTTTTGTGGTAATTATTCACACACTTTAGATGCTTAAAAATTTCTGCTTTCGAGTAGAAACTTTCAATGAACTGTCTCGAATTTGTAGTTAGGATTGAATTGCAGTATTTTAAAACTTTGATAGCCGAACTTACCTGATGAGGACCCTTAAGCAAGGTCGAAACCGGTCGTAAGTAGCTTGTGCTATTAAATAAATTCTATACACACCCACACCCACACACCCACACCCACACACCCACACCCACACACCCACACCCACACACCCACACCCACACCCAATTGCAGTAGGAGAGTTTATTATTCAAATCAAAAAAGCAATTGATAAGTACTTCTAGCACTTGTCGAAACCGGTCTTGCTAGCTATTTTGATTGATTCTTATTTGAATCACGTCTGCTAACACACCCTTATTGTAGGTGCATTCTGCTTATTACAAAGTAGAATTTTTATAGTGTTATGTATTGATTCAAATTTTACTTTTGAATCTCATATACTAATACTTAGACCACTTGATAAAGATTTGAGTTTTAGAACATCAGAAATAATCCACTAGGTTATCGTGGTAACTTTACACACCCACATCCACCCACACCCTGCGGGTCAGAGAGCTACGTTGTCTGACTCAATAGGGACAGGAACTTTCTTGCCTTAGCGAAGCAGTGTAGTACTAGGGAAGGCCTCTATGTGTCGTTGGTCCTTATCGTTCATACAGCATACCTTCGGCCATTGCTATACCAGTCCGGCGTAGTCCGCCTGTGGTACCTATGGCATTGACAAAGCATCTCTCCCTTGTCGCGCGCACGTAAGCCAAAATGAGCCGAGAAAAGTCGAAATAAATAGCAATGTGACTAAATTTATTGAGAAAGCAAAAAGAAAAAATTACAGTTACATTCTCTTTTTTACGTAGGCAATCACGTCTGTGACTTTCTGAATATCAGGGTGGTTTGGTGGAAGTGATTTTTGGAAGATAACAAGTGCCTTTTCTAAGAATGAGAGTGCTCTTGAGTAGTCTCCTTTGCCGAAATATGCAGTACCGATGTTGTTGTATAAAGTAGCCAATAAGGGATGATTCGAAGGTAGAGCATTTTCGAAGATTTTATGTGCTTTTTCGTAAAATTCAAGTGCTTTCGAGTAGTTACCCATGTTTTGATACACCACACCGATGTTGATGTAGAAAATAGCCAAATCGGGATGATTCGTAGGCAGAGCTTTTTTCTTGATTTCGAGATCTTTTTCGTAAAATTGAAGTGCTTTCGAGTAGTCACCCATCTTGTTATACACTTGACCGATGTTGCCGTAGGAAATAGCCAATGAGGGATGATTCGGAGGTAGAGTTTTTTCGATGATTTTACGTGCTTTTTCGTAAAATTCAAGTGCTTTCGAGTAGTCACGAATGTGGTGATACACTTCACCGATGTTATTGTAGGAACTAGCCAAATCGGGATGATTCGGAGACAGAGTTTTTTCTCTTATTTTAAGTGCTTTGTCGTGAAATTCAAGTGCTTTCGAGTAGTCACCCATGTTGCTATACACTCCACCGATGTTATTGTAGGAACTAGCCAATAAGGGATGATTCGAAGGTAGAGTTTTTTCGAAGATTTTAAGTGCTTTTTCGTAAAATTCAGGTGCTTTCGAGTAATCACCCATGTTTCTATACACTCCACCGATGTTATTGTAGGAAGTAGCCAAATCGGGATGATTCGGAGGCAGAGCTTTTTCAAAGATTTTAAGTGCTTTTTCGTAAAATTCAAGTGCTTTCGAGTAGATACCCATGTTGTTATACACTCCACCGATGTTATTGGAGGATTGAGCGAAATCGGGATGATTCGGAGGCAGAGCTTTTTCTCTTATTTTAAGTGCTTTTTCGTAAAATTCAAGTGCTTTCGAGTAGTCACCTATGTTGTAATACACTCCAGCAATGTTGTGGTAGGAAGTAGCCAGTGAAGGATGATCTCCTTGAAGAGTTTTTCGACGGATCTCGAGGGATTTTTCGCAAAATGATGCTGCTTCTTGGTGTAGTCCTTGTTGATCTTTCAGCACTGCAAGATTGTTGTAAATTGTGGCTCTAGTACTGTCGTTGGATATTTGTTCGAGTAGTGCAGTATACAATTTTTCGGCCTTGCTATATTGTCCTATTTTTAATAGCAATATACCCAATCGTGACCAACAAGTCTCATGTGACGCCCCTTCTAATATATTTTCTGTGAGTTGACGTAATTGTTGGTCTTCATCTGACGTCAGTTTAAGATCTACTTGATAAAGTGAACTTTCATTGTCAAGTTTTCGAATTTCATCAATTCGAAAAACGGTGTGCATGGAAAAGAGGATTTCGTTTTCTTCCGCGAAATTACTCTGTCCTTGGATAGAAGCAAATGGACTCGATAAGATGGTGGAATCTATGGACATTTGAAAAAGGATACCGACCGTATCAGGTTTTCCTATGGCACTTTCGGCGAAAAAGAGAGAGACAGCTCGATCTGTACTTGTGGATAAGAAATTATTGAAGGAAATAAGTCCACCTTTGTTTTTCTCGAGTTTATAGAAATCAGCTGTTGATAATCCTTGTCCTCGAAAAACTTGAAAGATCTTCCCATCAGAAAGACCGGCCTGTTGTTTGTGTAAACTATCGATTTGTCGGTGCAGATCAGCGAGAAAAAAACCCATTTTGATAATTGTCTCGCCATCCAGCGTTCGAAGAGACCTGTTGAGCATCTCGAAAAGGAAAGGCTCGCGAGTGTACCACCAAATTACTAATTGGTGACTATACTGAAGTTCGAACTCCGTGATATGCTTCGCTTTTGCTGGGTTATTGCCGGATTGGTTTTGCCAAAATTCAATAAAATCCTTTTTGGCTTGTTCGCCATGTTCCATATCAAGGAGAATTTCCTTGAATATCTGGGAGTACATGAACGAGGGTTCAAGCTGATTGAGATCTTTGCCGGAACCTTCTTCATTAACACTGATAATGCTTACGGATATGTCATCTTTATTGCATTGCTTGACAGCCATTTGCAATGCTTCACAGATGAGTGAGATTTCTGTATATACACCGTTAACTTTGTTCCATTGGCTGCTCCAATTTTCTTGTGAAGCTTTGCTACTGCAGTCGATGTAAATGCTACCAAGTTGAGGAATATCATGGATGAAGGGTACTATTTGTTGGCCCATAGTACTCGGTACGATGAGAAATGCCTTTTGATCATTGATTTCAGTTAGGAAGTCAATACATTCATCGCGTTGTGTAAAGGTATAGACTTCGTTAGCTATGCTTTGCAGTTGTTCGAGTGTATTTTGGTAATCTTTATTTGTTGGTTCAATGTTTCCAGCGACCCAAAGGATCAAATAATGTTGACTGATGCACCGTTTTGATTGCATGGTAGTCGATGGGACTGTTGTATTTGGATTGGTATCCATTGTTAGTTTGGAAATATTTTGTTTTGATTCTTGTTCACTTATATCCACTGTGAACTGTCGTTTATAAGTCAATCGAGTATAGTAGATAATTGCTTGTCGTTTAAAGACAGATCACTTTTTCTCTTTATATAGTAGCTGCCTTCTGTTTTTTTCTACGACATAAGATGTGGGTGTCTGTTTGTCGTCAACATTCGACGACAAACTTCATCGACCTATAAGAGAAAATATGATTGCCAACAAAAAGAATGAAAGAGAAAAAAAATCGAACAACGTCATTGCTTGCATTATTATTCTTTCCAACTTTTGTTTGATTTTCATCTGTAATACATGACTTAAGTGGCATTATGCTGGATACCTTGCCTCATACAACATTTTTTTTCAGGGTGATTTTTTTGTTTTTCTGACAAGAACGAAAGAAGAAACAAAGACATCATTAGTTCGATTGTTTTCATTCTGCTTTTGATGGATATCTTGATCATGTGAACGAAGAAACGAGAAAAATAAACTGCATTTTGAGTGAACTAACAATCAAAAAGCATTGCTCCTTGCCAAACTGGCTGCTGTTAGTTAACGAGTGGTTCAGATAAAGAAAGCTGTACATTCAGAGTGGATTAAAAGTCACTTTACTGGAAAGAAAAGCATGAATATCTCGGTCATACTTTGACCAAATAGACTGATTTTGGCACTACTAACAAAGGAGTACTCAAATTTGATATTCCCACGAAAAATGCTAAAAACTACTGCTTTAAGGTGTTACTATTAACATGAATATAAATCTAAAGTCTTTGATGAGTTATGAGAAAATAGTCTGATCCATATGATCACAAATAATGAACAAGAGATATTTCCAATCAACGCTTCAATCAATTATCATATGGTCCTAAATTTCTACCACAGATATATGTTTTCTTACCTGGTGTTTCCTGAAACTTCTAATTATTAATAACTAGATATATTCAGTGAATAATTTACAAAAAGTTATTTACTTCTTCATATTCATCAAAGTATCGCGCAGATACTCAAGCGTTTCTTCTCGATAAAATGACTTTTAACTCACTCCAGATTGTGCTTGATCATGAGAGATATGTATCACACTTGATTGTGAATGTCGGTGAAGTTCTCACTGTAAATACATCTTCAGTCTTCCCATAGTTAGAATAGTGCATTGTTGAGTTATACGTTGTGAACTGAAAGTTTTGAAACAAAGTCTTCCTTTCTGTTTTTTTGGACCGATGAAAAGGATAAGTCGAAATTTTATAGAGTTGACTAAGAATCAGAATTTTGTAAGTGAATCTGTAAAAAGATTAATAATAAATGTTCAACGATTTTCAATGCATTAAAATATTTTCAGGATAGAAGAGAAAAGTTAGTCTAAATTTTCTGAAGAAAAAAAGATTGTAAAGATTTCTGAACAAAATAATATCTTGATGGAAAGTTTTCTAGAAGGTAACTATTAATAATGACAGTTTTGGTAGGAGCGATCATGACATATTCATAAGTCCTTGATTTAAAGACGTACAAAATGAGTTTAGGCATGTATGAAAGACTGCTATGAGCTTTTCGATTGTTAAATCATTTTGAAGAGAACCCTCTCGTTCTTCATTTCATTCAAAATTTTGAATTAACAAAATCGATGTAGTTTGTCAGAATGATGCATAGAAACACACCATATTTAGAAAGATAAATATCAATGAATTGTAACTTTTTGATCGAATTAGCGCGAAAAAATGATAGTAGAATAAAATAATTTCTGAGTAGTGTGTTTTATGATATTCTAAGTTTGTAGTAAACAATAAAAGTTTTCCAACATATAGAAAAGACTCGAGCCATTTTATCAATATGACAAGGATAATAAGTGATCAATAAAATCGGTGACACGTCAGTTGAGCCTTTGACATTTGAGCCCCGACAGATGAGCCTGCACAGATGAGCCTCTCGACGTTTGAGCCCTTCCATTTGAGCCCCCGACATTTGAGCCTCTGGTCACATGAGCCTTTGACATCTGAGCCGTCTCCAGGTAAACCTTCTTGAAAGGGCAATAAAGACATGTGAAATCGTTATATACAATTATGAAGAGTATCGTCGAATTGATTGTCATTTATACATTGCGGTCAAAATTAAAACTCAGTCACATTTAATATTTGACTGACTTTGTGATCAGGAAAATTTTAAATTTGACTGAATTTTACTTTTGACCACAATATATATATATATTCAGAAAAAACTTGATCACCACTTTTCATATAAAACCAAGAAATGAATACTTTAAAAGAGCTGAAGCTTTGCTTAATTTTTGAAATGATTGATTTCTGTATTGTAATAAATTCATTATTTGGTTAATTAATTCGATAAGCTCAAATGTCAAAGGCTCATATGACCAGAGGCTCAAATGTCGGGGGCTCAAATGGAAGGGCTCAAATGTCGAGAGGCTCATCTGTGAAGGCTCATCTGTCGGGGCTTAAATGTCAAAGGCTCAACTGACGATGTATCAATAAAATCATATGACTTACAGATTAGAACGTCTAATTCTAAAGAATTTAATTTTATTTAAAAAAAATTCTTGAGTTGATTCAGTTTGAATTATCTATGAAAATAGCCTCACTCAATATTTTGTATCATAGCGTAAATCTTTCAAGAGATAAAGTTATAGAACAGACAATGTTCAAAACATCACACTAAAAAGAGAACAGAATCGCCTTTTTTTTGCAGAAAGTCCTATTGTTTTTCTCTGAAACAAAACTGATAAGAGAAAATGTTTTCTCATTAATATGTTACTAGAAGAATCTTCCTACTTTTCATTTAGTCAGCATGCCACCAGCTCTATCATTGGGAGATCTAGACTCACTTTTGGGTCACTCTACACAAAAACATACACGTATATCTGTCAAATAATGTTGTCATTAGATGAAGAAATAAAATTTCAATCAGTTATATTTTTGATAGAACATCGAATGCTTGGTTTTTTTGTTTTTGTAATAAGTCTCTTATAATTCAAGGACAGTTGTGAGCTAATAGGCAACTGAAATTGGATGTGACAGAAGAGCTCGCAAAAAGAAATAAAATTTTTTAAAAATAATGATTCAAATCGTTTAATCAAAATAAAAGATTATGTGACAAAAACGTCAAGAAGTAGACGAAGCTTTTTTTTTGATGATTTGAATTGTTTTTGTGAAAAAGTTCGCTTAGATCGATTGAAATCACATTTGTCATTTAATGGAGAAAATCATCGAACAAATTTCTAATATAATATAGAGTCATTAAATGGATATTTCATTGAACACATCTGAAATTTCTTGAGAAAAATTATGAAAAATAAATTGATGTCCATCTTTTGTTGTGAAAATTAAAAATTGTTCATTGATTGATCAATATTTAACTGAACAAATTGAATCAAAACATAATAACGAGTGCAGCAGAATAAATGACCACCTCAGTATTTTATCTCTAACTCTTTTTTTTTTCTTTCATCCAAATGACATGATTTTATCATAGAAAGATGTATCGTGAAATTCTCTACAAAGTGACTTATTTTATCTTGGTTAAATACCGATCGTCGTACTTTAAATCGAAATGATTTCACTTGGAAAAATTATGAGTACTTTCCAAAAATAGTTATTTTATAGTTTTTCCTAATATTGCTTTATTTGCCATATCCTAGTGACCTTTGTTGAAATAACATTTTAATTTCGATAATTATTGATTCAACTCAAGTAGGGAAGCCTAGGCATCGTTGGAGCATTGGTAAACCCAGATTGTTTCTCAACTAAAACAAACTATCAACGAACATTACTAAGAAATGGCAAATAGAGCGATATTAGGAAAAACTATAAAATAACTATTTTTGGAAAGCACTCATAATTTTTTCAAGTGAAACCATTTCGATTTAAAGTATGACGAACGGT